AAATAATTGAAAAAAAAATTATGAAAACATTTTCTGATGAATGAATTTTTGCACCTTGGAGTAAAGAAAGAGGAGTGCATTAAAAAAACATAGATTATATGAAAAAGTTATTGGGCCAAAAAAATTGGATTTGAATGAAAAACTTAAATTGGATTGAAATAAAAAAATTTCATTGTATGTTAGAAATAGAATTACATTCCATTTATCACCTCAAAGAAGTTGCTCCAAATCGTTTAACGTCATAAAAAGAAAACGGCAAAAGGAATTAAAGGTCATATATCAATATACCCACAACGTAAGGAGGATCTGCTAAAAGATAAACCCATGTCAAGCACCAAAAATAAAAAATATACTGTCCAAAAATCTTCTACTGGTTGGAACATCTGTATGGATAAGTTATTTTTGGTTCTAACGTGAAAAACTGGCGATTAAGAATTTCTTTCTTTTCTTTTCTTTTCTTTTCTTTTCTTTCTTCATGTGGTTTTTAGATGTGACTAGTTAATGCTGGAAGATAGTATTCAATTGAATTCGATTCAATTCAAAAATGTGATCGATAAAAGCAATCATCTTTCATCATAATGTAACCCATGTATACGATGTTAATAAAGTAGGGTTACGTTTTCCCTCTTTTAATATGAATAAAAGCTTTTACAAGCATATTAGTGGGTCAAAAAGTTCGATTTTTAATTTAAAAATCCGTATGACATTGTTTAGAACAGTTCTCATATAATTATACTAGTTTTTAGTGAAACAATTCCAACTTTCAACATTTCGTCTTACTACTTGTTTACCTAAACCTCCCAGCTTTTTAATTTTTAAAAATCTTTTCTTTAAGATTTTGGGAAACTTAAATATCTAACTGACAATTTACAGCATTTCTTTTTTTGATTTCTCAAAAGTTAGTTTTCAACTATTAATAAATTAATAAAATTTTAATTTTTAGAAGTATTTAGCTTTAATATATATATAACCTGAAATGTGAATAAGCTATTTAGTTTCTTATTAACGATATTAATACTGCCATGCTGATCAAAAAACCACGACGTAATTGGAAAGACCGACTTAAACGCGCTTCAGACCTAAAGTAAAGGCCTCAGTCTCTTGACTCGGTTTCATGAATGGTAAAACCAGTCATCATAATCCTAGTTCTGACGCTTTCATTACATCATTTAATTCATTATAGTATTCACCAGATTGTTGAGCTAGACAGACTCATATTGTATCATTGTTAGCGAATGCGGTACCCATTGTTCCTTAAGTTTTTGAAAACCCAAAAACTGTTTATAAAAATATATAATATGATAATTGAAATTATTTAAAAAATATTTGTCAGTAATTAAATACTTAGATATTTTACTAAAAGTGTTTCATTTTTGATTTTAACGTTATTTATGACCGCAGAGACAGTTTTATCTAATAGAAGCGATTGTATTTAATAGAGAGGCTTCGAACAGTACTGAATTGCAACAACAAAATTTTTTATTTATTTTTCATTAATTGAAATTTTGGCTGACCATACAGTTTTTTCGAGTATTGCCGAAATTATGAGATATTATGAGAAAAGTTTAAATGTTTATAGAGGGCTTTAAAAATACTTTGAGGTTAATTAATCATTATCAATTTAAAGGACACCTCAATTTTTTTATTTAAAATATTCCACGATTCTCAAATATCAACATCAAAACTCTGTGTGGCAAATACATCCAATTTTTTTTTGTTTGTGATATTTTTATATTTATTATTAGCTAAAATAGTTTTTGTTATAAAGTTTTGCTTTCTTCATTGCAAATTTATGCAATAATTTTTACTATTTTGGGCGTTGCACGTGATATTTCGGTTTTTTTGATTTTGAAGTCTCACATTTTTGCGGCAGGTTCCATCAACAAAATAACGCCCAAAAATAATAAAAGCAAATTTTTATTTCATTTAAAGTGTTTTTTTTAAATAAATTTCATTTTAATACATTTTGCCCAAATTTCGTTAACTCTGCTTTAATAGATGTTTGATATTTGATGGAAATTCGTTATATAATCTCGTGATCAATCAAATTTTATTGTATTTCCTGTCGTTCAATGTTGGCATAAAAATATTTTATATTATAATAGCAATACATTATCGTTTTGTTTTTAAAATCAATTTTAATAAAATTCCTAATTATAAATTAAAATTTTTTTAAGTATGTATTCTGCTGGAAAGAACAAATTTTAGCGCACATTAAGCTGAAAACTCAAGACTAAATTTGTATCTGATTATCGCGTGAATATTTGATAAGATATGTTTATTTCCTGACAGACTCGTTTTTCTAGTCCAAAGCATCATCAATGTTTTTATATTATCTTATTTTATTTTATTTAAAACAAATTAACAAAGATATTGTCACACTTTTGAAGGAAAGCGAAATTTTTGGAAGATTAAAGAAGGCGCTACCTTTTACGTTCCTCAATAAAAGTATAGATTTGTATTTATTATAATTATATAAAGTGTCTACTTCATTAAAATAATAATATTATAATAAAAAATTTTATAATTAATTAAAATTTTATTAAAATATTTTTTAAAATTTAATTTAATAATATTAAACTACGTAATAACATAGGTAACTCTTTTATTCGTTGTGTATTAATTTATTTGCATTAATTGTACTATTCAATTTTAATACAATTTTATTAATATTATTACTTAACTATTATAATAAGTATTTTTGATCATTTATTAATATGGTTTAAAAATTTTAAAAAATTTTTTTTTTTTGTGTATTTTGACAGTCTTCAAATTAGACAGCACATAATTCTGGAGACTTGCAATCAAAAAATGTGTACATACACAATTGAACCAATAGATGTTTCTAAAGAAACAATATCTAAAACAACTTTGTGGTTAGGTCCTTTTCTTTATCAAAATTTAAATGTTTGAACTTAAAAAGTTCTTCAGTGTTATTTCCTTTTTTATTCGAGGATAGATTTATTGTCAATTTTATATATAAAAGTTTCTCATTCAATATGCAAGATGAAAGAAACTTTGTAATAGAATTAAATTTAGCGTTTTCTAATGTTTTAAGCATGTACTTACTTAAATATCAACTGTATTAAAATGTCGCGCCTCACTGATGAGCATCAAACATCGCAAGGGCATAGCAATATCGAAGGGAATGAACTAGCAGATGAGATGGCCAGAAGAGGTTCTGCAATGCATATAAAAGACGCCGACCTCACAATACACACAGCAATGTGTGAGCTGTTTAGGATAATAGAGGAAATCACCAACACGGTGACAGACAACTTATGAACTAACCGCGAAGACTGTGAGGTCGCTAGAACCTTATAGCCGAGGTTGGATAAAAATAAGACGAAAAGCCTTTTAGGCTCCAGCAAACCTGCAGTTCGTGTGCTTACTGGAGTACTAACGGTGCACTGTGCCATTGCACCTATGCTCCAACGGTGGCGAGTTCCAACAAGCGGTTTATGCAGGAGTTGCCAAGATGAAGATGAAGTAGAATCTATCAACCACTTCCTCTGTCTCTGTCCAGGACTTCAGACAGGCGACTTCAATGTCTCGGTGATCGCTTTTTCACTGGCTTGGATGAGGTAACGAAAGTAAACTTATCGGATCTCCTCAACTTCATCTGGAAAACCAAATGGCTTAACAAGGACTATAAAGGTTAGCAACTCGCCTCTCCCGGCAAAACTTTTTGAGGGCATCACAATGGGCAATATATGCCTCCGAGTGGAAGTGCTGACAATTGGCAGCACGCGCCTTCCGAACCTAACCTACTCAAATATCAACACTTCTACATAGAGAGATCTAATATATGTATTGCTTATTATAATGCCCCCCAAAATTACTTAAGACAGGCTAATAAGAAGGTCCGTTATTTCTATTGCAGATACTTGTGGTAATCTTATTAAATAATTTCCTGTCGAAGTTAGGGAATTTCAATTAGTCGAGATTCGGTATACCAGCGAGAGAAAAAAAAACGATCGCGTTTTTTATGGCTCTAAATAAAGACATTGAAAGCGATTATTTGGTTCTAATTCTACTTAGTCATAACTCCTCCACAGTCCGCATGTTGTGCCCACCACAATTTAAGTTGTGACAAAATAGCTTGGAGATTTATTCGCATTCTACTTAGTACAATCCAAAGTATTGAAAATCAAAAGAACTTTCGTTCTTCTTTTGTCTAATTTAACACATAGAATTATAGCAAATTAAGTTTTTGCAATTAGTCCATAAATTTTTTATCACCAAAACATTCACGTATGTTTTCAATTCCTCTATATTTCCATATCAGTGTTTGTACGGAGGTTATGTCTCATTTATTTTTGTTACAGAGTATCTTTTGAATATTTCATAGGCTATCTCATGTTTCGCAATATTCTTATATAAAATAGGGATATCTATTAAATGTATTAGATATTTTTTTCTTCTATTTCTGAAAAAAGTTTTTGAAAAAAAAACAAGTTTCGAGATAATTATTAACAAGAATTTTATACTGTGAGAATTTAATATGCCGTCATGAAAGTGTAGAGTATCACACTTATTATCGTATCTTATTGCAATTTTATGTTTTTTATTGAGTCGCTAATTAAATTTTAAGCTCTTTTTTTATATATAATCACTTGTATTATGTCAGTTGCAAATTGATTTAAAGATTATTCAGCCAAAACTATA